GAGGAGGAGGAGGAGGAGGAGGAGGAGGGCACAACAGCTATAGAACAATAACAGTGATATTTTAAGATATGGTACGCACAAATTCTCACATTCTACCACTGACGTCACATCAGTGACATCTTCAAAATTTTTAAGCAAAAAATGTTAATGTATTTTGTTTCAATACATTAATCAATGCTCTTAATCCAAACCATGTTTACACAGAAAGTCGGAGAAGCGATCAGGATAGAAAAGCTAATATTGTGGCAGCCAAGGAAACAGCTGGAAACGCCATTTCTTTTCTTTAAAAGTTGGAACAGAAATAATTGTTTCCGGAACGATCTGTTACGAGCTTCTGTCATGTTTTTCTTCTTCTTCTTTTGGAGCCTCCTGTTTTGTTCTCCCATAATACATTGGCGAAATGGCTCAGCGTAGGGTGTGTTTTATCAGGAAGCTAATAATGTTGAGCTCGGCGCTTCATTTGTTCCGTTCCACAATAATTTTCCGCAAAACCTCCCAGCTATGTCCTTGCTATTCTTGACCTGAAACAATGTCTCGGTGTTTTCTATTGCATAAATGGATAAATTGCCTCGTCCTCTGCTATCCTTAATGCAGGATTTTGTTTTTGTAGGGGGGGGGGGGTATTTCAATCTTCCCAGGCGCAATGAATTTCATCAAATTAGGAGCGCCCTTACCCATCCCCCTCCCATTTTCCCTTCTTTTTCACCGTTCACACTTCTTTTCTCTCCCCCCTCTCTTTCTCTATTTTTTTCTATTTGTCTCTCTTTATCTTTTTCTCTCTTTATACCATACACATAAAGACATACACTCGCACACACAGACACACACGTGCGCGCACATACAGACACACAAACATGCAATACTGACAGTCACAAATACCCACACACCTACATAAAAATTTGTTTTAAAATATACAACATACCCTGCTACATGCTGTTCTGGCAAATGTTTTCATTTCCACCATTTTATATTATTTCTTTCTGTCCTTTGTTTTGTTGTTTTATTCTCTTCTGTTCTGGGCTATTTTGATTTGTCTCGTTTCGTCTGGTTTGGTTTGGGTTTTGTTTTTGTTTTTTTATTTGTTTTTGGTTTGTTTTTGGTTTGGTTTGGTTCTTGCTTTGGCTTGATTCTTTTCTTTTTCTTTTTTTTTCGGGGGGTAGGGGATTGTCTCGTCCAGGTATTCTTAACAATATAAAAATCCAATAGAACATCTTTAACCCCAAAACCTGAAAGCCAGTGAGCCTTTGAAGTTAAGTAGGCACTTCAGACTGAGCTGGCTTCGCTGGCTAGGACATATCCACATATAATGCAGTTGAAAAAAAAGCACCAAATGACGTTTTCTATGAACAGGTACAGACAAAAAAACAACAGTTCAATACTCCTTAAGGTCACCCCCAGATAAGATTTAAAGTTGCCTGGAAAAGAGAAATAAATGCTCTCGATATTAATGTAAACTGTTGGAAGGACTTAAAGCAGGATCGCTCCTTCCGATGACAGACGCTAAGCCGCACATAACACAGGAGAACAACAACTACAAAATAGACAGATAGCCTCTGATGAGCGCAGGGCAAGACGTAAAATTGCCACCAGACGCCCCCTGCAGCTGCAGTGTTCAAATGTAGGCTGCTGTGGCAGAAACTGTCACTTTCACATTCTTTTTAATGTAAGTGTTTTTACACCCCAATCGACACAATTTAGATAATTTAGGCGGCAGACTTTCAACCCTTCCTGTCTGGGCCAACCCAGGCTGAGAGGGATACAACAGCTCAACAGAAAGACCAAGATACTCAATTAAAATATCTCCAAACTTGGGAGTCGATCTCGGTTCTTCTGCTTGCGATAGATAAGCGACTTGCAGCTGAGGTGGCGTCGGTAGCCTAGTTGTTAGGTTACCGGACTCGTAATCGTGAGGTTGCGGGTTCGGGGGTTCGAGCCTCAGCTCTGTCCGACGTTTTGTCCATCGGAAAGGCACTTTACACGAACTTCCCACTTGGCTCGATTCTATCGGAGACGGATGTTAAACTAGGAGGTCCCGCCCTTTGAATAAGCTAATAGTGTTGATACCATACCATACCTTACCATTTCACCATTTTTTCTAGCAGCTGCACCACAGACACCGATGCTCTCGCATTAGACTACGCAGTCACAGTAGATACTGTTGTAGCTCCAACTTAAGACACACTACCTAGGCATAGATCCGTGGCCACATATGACCACAGTATGGCGGCTAAGCACTTTACTATTTTGATTCTTCCGATTTATTCGATTCTGTCGTGTAAAACAACTCAAGATCACAGGAGTCAGTGGTGTAGTGGTTACAAGGCGCTTTGCTGTCGCACACAGGTGACACGAGTTCGATGCCCATGTGTGTGTGGGTTTGTTTTTGTGTTTTTTTGTGTGTGTTTGCTTTTGTTTGTTGTTGTTGGGGTTTTTGTGTGTTTTGGTTTGTTTGTTTGGTTGTTTGTTTGGGTTGGGGGGAGGGGGTTTC